AGCACTATTGTAAAACTCTGTTAATTAGGTGATTAATATGTATAATATACTTAATGATTTATTATTTAACACACATATGTGATTATTACTATATATATATATATATATATATATATATATATATATATATATATATATATATAGTAATAATCACATATGTGTCTTAAATAATAAATCATTAAGTATATTATACATATTAATCACCTAATTAACAGAGTTTTAAAATAGTGCTCAGTTCAGTAATGGGCTGATCAAGGAGTACTCGGGATTTTCTATCCTGCCTCGGTAATTATTCACAAAGTGTGTCACACCCCAAAACCAATAACGACGGAAATGTTCTGGGGCGGAGGACGGCATGTAAAATATAACAACAATGCAAAGTAGTAAACAAGCAACAACATCATCCATTGCATTAATAGTATAATTTTAAATACAAGTGCATTCTTTCATAGAATAAAACAACATAATGAATAACCAAAATAAAAGGCGAGTCTTGACTGCTCCGTATTCACAAAACCTGGTCATCGTACCTGTCTATTGGTGACCTGAGAATACAAGTTATTTTGAAAGCGAGTATCATCATAAAGCTGGTGAATTCATAAGTATTTTAGTGTCTTTGATTTGTAAAAACTGTAAAGAAAAGACTCGTAAATGTTTGATGAAAAGTTTGTATAAGTATGAAAACCCTAGAAAATCCCATATTTCCTACTAGTATAAAGTGTAGTCTTCTACCAAGACTCGACTGTTTAGAAGCTTTGAACCTCTGTTTAAATGAAGGTTTTTCCCTTGTACAACAATTATTATTAAAATCTAGTCTACCTCATCGATTATGTGAATGTGTCACAAAATAAAGGTAATAAGGAAAATAATATAATTATTGAAATCGTATCCTTTTGTACTAGGATAAACATGACGTGGTAACTCGCCAAACAGTACAACCGTAGACATATGTTATTGTGCATTTTCCCACTGTAGCTAACAGTCGGGTGTAGAATGGTCAGTCCCGTATCGTATGTAATAGTATCTCTATAATAGTATCTCTTCATATAGTATGTCATAGTATCTCTTCATATAGTATATAATAGTATCTATGTAATAGTATCTATGTAATAGCATCTATGTAATAGTATCTCTGTAATAGTATCTCTTCATATAGTCTGTAATAGTATCTCTTCATATAGTATGTAATAGTATCTCTTAATATAGTATGTAATATATTTGTATAGACTCATGAATGAACCGACTCTTGTGTGATTCCTTGTACTAGGAATAGTAAGTAGTATCTCCTAACTATACCTATTATAGTTACTAGTAATGTACGTGTATAACCGAAAGTGTTCCTTTGCTACCCAAAGGTACTGAACTGACTGATATAGCTTTTATGTCTATATTTGTATACATAATATATAACTAATATTTAGACAACATTCAGACAAATAACTGATACCCTAAGACCACATCCAAACAAGGATAAGGAATTACAGCGAGCTAGCAGTCCTAAGTCCTTTAAACATTACTTATATAACTATACATATATAGGCATGCGATTGACAATATAAACGTATAAAAGAAGTTTTGTAAAACCTTTGAAAAGTTTAATAAATAAGAATTTATCGACTTGATGTCAGTTTATAAAATGATTTGAAAGCAACTTGTTTGATAACTACATTTTAAAGTATAAGAAATCCTTTGTTTGAAACAAAATTGTAACAAAGTTTGAAAGGAAAGATATAGTGTGTAATACAATTTGATAAAGAGTTTAGTATGAAAAGATGTTTTGAGAAATCATTTTGAAGTAGTATACTGAGTAAAACAGCTAAAAGTGTAGTAAATCCATTTGAATGCTAGCTATTAACTACATGTGATTGATATAATAACTAGTATGATTTAACTTATATTCTGCCCCCCCCCCCCCCCATAAAGGCATTTAAAAATATTTAAAAGGTTAATTAAGGGGTTTGTACTCACCTGTAGTGAGCGGATCATATCGAAGTGTTGGACAAGTGCTAGGTGTCAAGTGAAGACTTGAACACACACAATGATCCTAATAACATATAAAGACATATATATATATATATATATATATATATATATATATATATATATATATATATATATATATATATATATGTATGTATGTATACAATTAGTGATTATAACACTAATTAGACAAGTATAAAAACCCTAATGTGTGGAAAACACTTTGGTCAAAGTGTTAGGAGGCCATTGGGTTGTAACAAAGGAGTATAAAGCACCGCTATTGAGTTTATGGCCCAAGGACCACACTGAATGGAGTTTATGGCCTAGGGGACTTTAGTCCTGGTCGTAAACTCTGTAAAGGGTCTTATTTAGAGGCTTAAAGGTATGGAGTCTCAAGTGGTTAAGTGTTCCAAGGTTAAACAAGAGGTTATGTGAGTTTAAGGTCCAAGAATTGACCTTAACATGAGTTTATAGCTTGGGGACCATTTCTCCATGAGTTTACGACCGTAAACTCATGGTATGATGCACCAACTCAAAGTTTAATGTCCCTAGTTCATTGGTGGAGGGTTCTAATCCAAGTTCTAAGCATAAGGAAGGAAATTAGGGCAACTTTGCACCATAAAAGGGAGTTTACGGCGTTCGGAGGTCCTTGGCCGTAAACTCTCATCCAACCCTTAAATCTTGATGTTTCTAAGGCCTAAACATGTTTAATCTAGTGTATAACAAGTTAGAACAAGAGTGCTTACAATATAGAAGCTTGAACTGGTCAGTTTTGGCCAAGAACACTAGTGTGTGTTGTTGGTGAAACTTGATGATCTATGAAAACATGATTTTTATGGATGAAATCATGTAAGGATACTAGATTAAGAGATGTATCAACAATTCAAGGAAGAATACTTCCTAGTTTTGAAGATCTAAAGTGAAGATCGGGATGATAGTTGAGAGGATTGAAAGAAAAATCAGCCAAGGAATGAAAGAATGAGAAAAATAGCCAAGTATCATCTATATATACTTGAGTTTACGGTCACGTGAGTTTACGGCCGTAAACTCATGGTCTTGTGGCAGTGAACTCATTTTGAGTGGGTTATGGTCTGATTTGCTACACTGTGGTTCTAGCAGGTACTTTCTAACACTGATTCCTTAAGTGTATTAGGCTCAAAACGCTCAAACAGACTCTAAATTGTGCTAAATGATAGCAGGAATGAGTTTGACTTTCAATGAAGTATTTGACCGTACATGATGGAAAATTTCGAGTTGTCACAAAGTAAGACCATTATATGTTTTCAATTTTTGTGTATTCACATATATCTAATTTTGTTATATATTTCAATCAACTTATGATTTTAACTTATGATTTTGACATATATAATTTCTCTAAAAAATATTTCTACATGAATTATCGAATCTGAGTACTCCCCGAGTACTCGTTACTCGGTAGTCGGCCAAATAGGTACCGAGTAACAAGTCCTACAATCTTGTGTACTAAAGGGAGATGTTACAACGACATAAATTGGTGAACCATGACATAATGAAGAAAAATATGATAAATGGGGTGATATTCCAATATCCATAAGGATGAAGAAATACCTGAAGTGCTTGAGGAAAACATACATGAGTGAGACTTAAATGCCGACATGGACATAGGACTAGAGGCTAAGAACTGTTCGAACTGGTCAAATCTTTTGGATCCAAAGCCAATGATGGTGTGAATAAAGTCTGGGAATCAGTCTCTATAGAAGGTGCCGTTGGTGTAAAATTGGGGACAAAATTGGGGAGTCAGGTGGTGTAACTAAAACTGACAAGATGCCTTGTTTTGTTGTAGAGGCTAGAATAGAACAATAGGCCGTTGATGTTTCTTTCCCTTGATAAATAACAATCGGAACTGATATTTCTAATGTTCTTTTTGTTTAGAAATAATAATAATAATAATAATAATAAAAAAAAATAAACTTTCATCGAATGAAACTTGTGGCTGAGGATGATTTGCAGGTTAGGTTGTTGTAGACCCTCTTTCAACCAAGATTTGAGATGATTTTCTTCTTCAATTAGCTTATGAACAACTTAATGTAATGTTGGAAAAAGTGTAAAATAAAGAAGTTTTTCATGGAATCCTATAAAATTATTCTATAATGCCATCAAGAACTAGGCTAATCTGTTATCTTCCATCATTGCAATGTAAGGTTTAAAAGCCTTTAACTCATCAGATCCATTAAGGGCTAACTGATCCCACAACTTAGACATGGCATCATAAAAATCTTGAATACACATATAGTATTTTGCTGAAGAGATCGAATATTAGTTTTGAAGTACTGTTTTGGAAAATTAGACTAGGTGTACAATATATCTAAGTGATCCAAGACTTATTTTTTTGTGTCATACTTTTCCAGTCGATGCATAATTGATTGAATACCTTCTTTTTTGCATTCAATTAATAATCTATCAGTTTCCCATGAATTCAAAAAAATTGCATCATATTATAATTACCAGTAATAATACCTCACACAATTTACTAGGAAAAAATTTTCTTCAACATAACTCAAATAAGCATAATTTTTTCCAGCTGAGTACTAATGGTGAAAATAATCATCTCTCAAAGGCATACTACCAACAACGATCAAACAAAAATCCTATACTAGCAGAAGATACGAAAAACGAAGCCAATAACAAATGAACGAATGATAAAAGTTGCAATAATCAACAAACTATTTTGTTTGAACACGTCATACCCAACTAGAAAAGAAAAATGAACAAATGATTTCCATAACCTCTTCCACAATCATCAACATAGAAAAGAATGATCAAATAGAACTTGGATACCATGTGAACTTATAAAATTGTAAAGAAAAATATTTCTAGAGTTTCATTTTTGACAAATATATATTACAATACAAAGACATCTGTAAATTAAACACAATCTAAGGTCAACTAATAAATGGCTAAACAGAATGCACAATACACTTATTAGAATAACCGTTACAACTTACCCTTATCTTGGTAATGATTTATATGTGTTTCTATAGGTCCACTCAACTTCGACTTTGATAATGGCCCAAATAATATCACATTAATCTTGAATCCAAACGCATGGACACAGGCTGGTTCAAATTTCATCTCATTTTTCCATTATTTTTACTTTCAAATCCAAAATAATATTTATTTATTTATTTTTTTTTTGCTGATATTTTATATAAACCATTCATTGTATTTTTTAGATTGCAAATATCATATTTGTCGATATACCGGCTGGTACTGGCTTTTCATATTCTGAAACAAAAGATGGATGGATTAGCAGCGACAACATCTTGGCTACTCATGCTAAAGAGTTTATAAAGAAGGTTAAACTAAGCATTATACTTTATGCATAATCTAATATTGTATTAGAAAAATAGCATATTTCATGAAGCGAAAAGAGAATTTATGTTTAATGCAACCGATCTTTTTTCATTTCAAGTAACTTTATAAAATGTTACAAATGCACATTTAATTAGCAACCACTTAGATCATGTTGTAGAGCTCGTGGATGTGTGTATAATCATTTTTCTTTACTGTATGTACTTGAGATGTTTAATTTATTTATGTAATATTATGTTTAAACAGTTTCTTGTTGAGCATCCACGATTCCTAAACAATCCGCTCTACATAGCAGGGATTTCTTATATGGGTCTCCTCGTTCCGAAAATCACTCTAGAAATATTTGAAGGTAATTTTATTAATGTCTTTTTTTTTCAGTGTCATAAATTGATTATCGATATGATGAAATTGTGATCTTTGGAACATTTTCACTATTATAGGTAATGAGCGTGGAGATCAACCAACATTAAATATTCAAGTAATTTTCTATACCCTCAAAATACTACAACAAAATACACCATCACTCATGGCCATATCCGAGGGTAATTTATGGGTAATGTTCTTTACCAATGGATTTCCCATGAAACCAGATTAATGGGTTAAAGTTCAAGGGTAATTTTTCTCACAAATTACTGTGAACTAACTAAAAAGTTCAAAGTACTTAACTAGTTAGTATATCAATGTTCCTTTTTTAGAAACCTAAGAGGTGCCTATCAATAGGGTAACTTAAAAAGCATCCAAGTAACTAATTAGTATATAAAAATGTGAACATATTCCTTACATTTCCATAATTTCAATGAAATAAAGGAACATGTAATTATCTTATATATTCATGAATTGGATTGTAGGGCTACATTCTTGTTAGTCCACTTACGGATAAGTTCAAGGATATTAATTCAAGACTTGAATATGCTCATCGTATGGCACTCATATCAGATGATACTTATAAGGTAACTTTTGTAAAATGTATAAAAACATTAAATTTGGAAACTGAGTCTTATTTATAATGATTTAATTTGCAGACTGCGATAAAGTATTGTCATGGTAACTACATGGACATTGATGCAAGCAACTCATTATGTGCAAATAGTCTTCGTCAATATGAAGAGGTAAGACTTATGGATCGAGTTACTAATACATGCATGGCATTCGTAAACATTATATAATGATATTCACATTAATTCCAATTTGCAGTGTACCAGTCACATTAGTTTTGATAACATTTTGCAACCTTTTTGTGACGATAATGATCCAATGCAATATTGTGAAGTACTCTCTCTCTCTCTCACACACACACACACACTCACTTACTTAAAACAAATAAACCACATTTTCAAGAAATAATATCCTCTCTCTCTCTCTCTCTCTCTCTATATATATATATATATATATATATATATATGTTCAGGTTCATTTGAGACCATTCTAATTTTGTGACACCGTAAGATAAAATCTAAAAATAATTTTAAAATGCAAAATAAATGGAAAAATCCAAAAAAAAAAAAATTTAAATATTATTTTCGGAACTTGAATTAACTAAAAAAAATAAAAATAAAAAAATCCCGTTTTTTTTTTTTTTTAAATATGTGAAATATTCTAAATAGAATATTACACTGACATATATTCTAAAAAATAATTTTAAAATGCAAAATAAATGGAAAAATCTAAAAATTCTTTTTTTAAATATTAGTTTCGGAACTTGAATTAACTAAAAATAAATATAAAAAAATCCTATTTTTTTGAAAAATACGTAAAATATTCTAAATAGAATATTACACTGTACATATTCTAAAAATAATTTTAAAATGCAAAATAAATGGAAAAATCAAAAAATTCTTTTTTTAAATATTATTTTCGGAACTTGAATTAACTAAAAAAAATTATAAAAAAATTAAAAAATAAAAATAAAAAATAAAAAAAATGCGTCTCACGGTCTCATAAAATTAGACCGTCTCACATGAACCTAACCCTATATATATATATATATATATATATATATATATATATATATATATATATATATATATATATATATATATATATATATATATTCTTGTTTTAGACCTCTATTGACAATGTTAAAATTCATAGTTCCTACAAAAATATATGCAAATCTAAAAGAGGAAACTTTGTTATTTACTTTTCCTTTATTGTGAGGGCTAACAACTAGTTGACAAAGAATGCCGTCTAGTAGACAAAACGAGTAAATTTTATGTGCTCCTATCAAATACTATCATCACATCTTTGTGCTTCACTTTATTTTTCATGTCACACCTATCGAGTGGTGTCATGGCTTTCAAGAGTCCTTTATTTTTCTTTTTATTTGTACTTTAGTTTTCAAATCTCATCATTCCAAATAAAAAGTTAAATGATTTTAATAATAACGGTAAATTGAAAATTAAAATTTAAATAAAATAAAGTCGTTCAGTCTGAGAATTGTTTATGAGAATCATGTTCGGGCTCTTTATTGATAAACTCGTAATATATATATTTTTTTTTCTGTTCACATATATCCATTCTTCTCTCCACATACACTGGGGGTACCCACATCTATTGGGACTATTTGTAAAACATTTTTGTTTTTGTTAAATTGGTATATCTTTTTCTCTCGTTTTCTAAAATCATATCATATTATTTCTAAAATCATATTATATAATATGATGATAATATACATTATAGTTGTGTGGAAAATATGATGATAATATACATTATAGTTGTGAGTTTTTCCACCTTTCCTTGTCTTTCTATACTTATAGTATATGCTAAATATCCTTATGGGCTCCAAATGCTTTCTAGCTAAATGCTTTATGTCTCTTTCTTGAGCCCTTCAATTTTTTTTGTTTATCTTCACCTGGATTTTACAAATGCAACAAATTTAGAATACATTGACAAGATATTATCATACTTGTATTTCGTACCATTGACATCAAACTTACATTCTAGTGCAGTCCCATCATGACTGATGTAGAATATTAGTGACATATTCAGAAGATTTAAGTCTTTATTTGAACTAAGATCACCAAAGTAGACATGTCAAATCCAAAGAACATATGATCCAGTTACTAAGTCCTATTATTGGGGGACCTTTATCTCTCCGCATGGACAAAATTGTAAAAATGGTTGCTGTGGTATGAACTTTTTTGAGGTTTTAGTACAAACCTCGTCTTTTTTGGTTTCATGGTCCTTTTGAACTAGTTTTGTTGTGTTTTTAGTCCATCTGAATAGTGAAATGACTATAATACCCTTGGGGTATTTATTTTTCATTTTTCTTTCATTTCTTCTTAAATCAATACTAATTTATTTATTTTAATAATTAAAAAAATAAGAAGGGTCCACCTTCTCTCTCTCTCTCTCTCTCTCTCTCTCTCTCTCTCTCAGAAAGAAAAATCGCAACCCCTTTTTCTCTTGCAACAGATCGATTTCTTTTCTTTCTTATTCTTTATGATCACAGATCGTCTCTCTCTCTCTCGTCTCTCTCTATCTCTCTCTCTTCAATAATGAAGAGTACAAAAAACCTACCCTCATCTTCTTCAAAAGAAGATGATCAACAATGGCTTTCTTACTGGATCTTATACTCGTTCCTTACTCTCGTGGAGATGCTTCTTGTATCTGTCCTTGAATGGTTACTACTGGAATAAAACACAACCATTTAATTTCAAGATTTGATCATCGTGATTTCCAAAATCTAATGGTTAGCAGATACCGATATGGTATAATGGGAAATTGATAGCGGTGGCGTGGCTGGTGTGGCCACAGTTCAGAGGAGTTGCTTTCATCTACAATAAATTTGTGAAGGAGAAGGTGATCAAGAGATACTACCCTAGGATTGGAGGAGGAGAGCACAAATCATCGTCGTCGTCCCCCAAACAGAAAGAATAAGAACAAGCCGGCTGATCTTATGACCACCAAGAAATCCAGTTGATTGGGTTAGGTTGTCGGTATATTATTGTGAAGAACTGATTGTGTTTACTATGCTTTCATTTTTTGTTTTTCGATTTGGGGGATGAACTCGTTTACACAAATCGATTTCTAGAATTGATTTTTCTTGTTTCAGAAATGATTTGAAGAACAAATGATTCATATCGGTATTGTTCCACGTGTTACTTGTGATTCCATCGTCCTTGACCCAATCACGAGTGCCACCTGCACTCTGTGATTCCCCCCACCCACCGCTGCTGGCAATTCGTAGCCACCACTAAACGCCTTCGTTCTCCCATCATCGATGCCGATCAGAGATCCAAACCGTGGAATTCGCAATGGAGATTCTCGGGGAGGAAATTCGAGCTGTGGAGGTGAGTGGTGAGGGAGATATTGAAAGAAGTGAACACACTACATACATCTTCATCCACATCGATTGAATGAGGAAGAGAGCTTGGTATCCGATCCCGATTGTACCCCGACAAAACACAAGAATTGGTGAGAACCCCCAACGAAGATGACGGAAAAGTACCTTCGTTCTTGAGGAAGAAGACAAAGAGGAATAGTTACTCCTTATTTCATGGTTTTTTCATAAACAACACACTCCAATTTTGGATTTGTTCTTAAGAAACAAGACGATCAGAGAGAGAGAGAGAGAGAGAGAGAGAGAGAGAGGAGAGAGAGAGAGAGAGAGAGAGAGAGAGAGAGAGAGAGAGAGAGAGAGAGAGAACCACTGGACGAGGAAATCAACTTCATCCATATAATTATAGTCTTTACAACTAGCATTCATGTAGCAAAAAATTTCATCTTTTTTCAGTTTTTTTATTGAAAAAAAAAATTAAATAAATCTAAATTCATAGTATTTTCTATATAAATAAGCATCTATATCTATATATGAAAGAACAAACATTCTTGAAAGACTTTTGACAATTTTTGTTTTTAGTGGATGTAGTATACAACGTTAAAAACTACTATGGTTAAAGAGCATACAACTTTACCGTTTCTGTTATCTCACTTATTTCATCAAACTATTTTTTATTCTCTCTTTTCTCTTCGAACTTTCTCACCTTAGAATAAATGGAAACTTATTTTTCACATTTCTCCAACACCATTTAATTTTTTAATTTTGAAATAAATACAAATTAATTAGAAACATGCAAATTAATTTACAAAATACTAAATTAATGCAAAATAAAACATAAAACATAAAAAAAAAATATATCTGCTTTGATATTAATCGTATGTATGTATTTATGTATGTATGTATGAGAGAATGTTTTAATAAAAAAAAAAAAAAAAAAAAAGCTTAAAGTGTGAGATATGACATTACTTGACATAAAATTGCAAATATGAAAGAGGAGGTGGTATACTTGACAAGCCATGTAATTGGTAATTATATTTGCATGTCTTAGTTGTGGAGGTTCTTAGTTGTATATGTTTTTTGAAATTTTATCCTTTACCTACCATATGATTGATTTAGCGTATTTGTCTTGGTTTTATTAATGTATTTGACGAATGTAAAATTCGGTTAATTATGATATTGTAATACAAGATTACTTGATTATATAAAGTGAAAAAAGAAAATTGCTTTGCATGTTTTCCCAATGTACTTTGTATCTATGATTTGATTTTTGATGGATATGGAATTCTAACATTAGCCGTGATCAATATAGAGCGATTTTAATGCGGTTGCAGCGACCTGGGCAAATTCTAAAGTTGTACAACAAGCTATCAACATCCGTCAAGTATGTTACCAATATTATTTCCTTAAAGAGATAAATGATCTAATACCATCATTCAGTTTCATTTCTTGATTTTTTTATTACAGGGAACAATTGGAAAATGGGAGTTGCGCAACTCTACCATGCATTATGATCAGGGAAAGAATGACACATTTTGTTATTCTTATGACATTTTTAGTAGTTTTCATTATCATAAGAAACTTTCTAGCAAACATTGTCGATCTTTGATTATGAGGTAATCTAGTCGTGCCCTTCCTCTTTATTAAGGAATTGAAACATCCTTGTAAATCTAGTAACATATATGCATAAATGTGACAGTGGCGACCATGATATGACATTTCCATATGTTGGCATTGAGCAATGGATTGCTTCTCTCGATCTTGGGGTTGAAAACCCATGGAAGCCGTTTTTTAGTGATGGTCAAGTCGGGGGGTGAGATTCATCTCATTTCGATTAAACTAATTTTTAATTTTGAGGTGTTCGTTTATTTACCATATATTATATTAGACCAATTTGCTACAAGAAAACTTTCTGATTGATATTTAATAATAGGGAAGCATAATAAAGCTAAAATATCTCTCCCACTCACATACACGTCCGCTCGCGCTCATATTTAAAACATTTCACATAATAGTTCCACAATAATCTTACTCTTACTAATTACATGACTTCTATTTTGCAGATATGAAACGAAATATGCACACAATAATTATTCGTTGACGTTTTCTACGGTTAAAGTAAGAAATGATTTTTCCATCTTGTGGCACTGGAGTTGTGTGTGTGTGGCTTTTTTTTTTTTTTTTTTTTTTTTTTTTTTTTTTTTAGAAATATAAAAATTGTACATCTTAAAAATTATATAAATGTTGTAATGTGATTTCGATGTTTATAGGGCGCAGGACATTTGGTGCCATATTACAAGCCGAAAGAAAGTATGGTACTAATAGCGAAATGGTTTTCTTCACAAGTTTATTCAAGTGACTCTTAATTAATTAAGAGATGGTTGATTTACGGATGCTTAGAAATATAAGATCATGATATGGTACTGAGAGGAAAGTTGTTTTCTTTACATATTTTATAGTTGTAGTTTTGAGAAGACAATCACATGCATATTGCTACATTTGGATCAGTCACTACAATTGTATTGTCTGTACGAATTAAATAATCATTTTCTATACCTTATAACTATTTTATGTTTTGAAAGTGATTTGAACACGGTAATGATGCTTAGGATCATCATACCGTTGTGATGGAAAATGTTCAAGTAAATATAAACACCTAGCAGTAAAGCTTGGTAAATAGATCGATTAAACTTTAAGTATGATACGACGGAAGCTTGAATAATGGTTGGTTGGAGGAAATCTATCAATGAATATGAAAAGTAGACAACTATTGGTAATGACTACACTATGAGAGGAAAAGCCATGACTTTTTTTTTTTCCTTTTCCAACTTTCCAAATGAATGGGATGAAGCAAAACTTTCGAAGTTATTTCGTAGGCATGGAAAGCTGTTCGATGTCTATCTAACTAGTAAGATCAACAGTTGGTCCCTTATAGTAATTAAACACATAATGATGGTGAAAATGGAATTTTTATTGAATAACGTATTTCGAAAAATAGAAAGAATCAACTAAGACACACCTCACTTTATTTACACACTCCCGCCAATTATGAAAGCTATGACGCATATTCATCGTCAAACTCTCCAAACTAAGTCTAATAATCTCAATCTCTAACTTTATATTTGATAATATTGTCATATGATTATGATAACAAGAAATTACAAGGTTCTCAATAAAAAAGAAACATAAAGACTACAATGAAGAAAGCGGGGAGCAAATACCAGCAAGACAAAACCCTAATGGGCTAAACCCTAAAGGGCCCATAAACATGTAGGCTAAAAACATATAGGTTAACATCCCCCCTCAAACTCACAATGTCACAACAATAAGTTTTGAGAGTTTGTTACACAAAAACCGAAACCGAGAAGCCGATAGAGCCTTTGTAAAAATATCCGCAAGTTGCAAGCTTGATGAAACAAACAGAAACGATATTGTTCCGAGCTATAAGTGATGATGGATGCAATGATAGTCAATCTCACTTTTGTTATCACAAAGCAGGAAGTAGGTGAAGAAATGTGATCTCCCATATCTACAAGGAGCCACTGTAACCAGATATTCTTACATGTAGTCAATACAATAGCACGATACTCAGCCTTCGTGGAAGATCTAGAGACAACGTCCTATTTCTTGCTCTTCAATGAAATGACAGACTCTCCATCAAATACGCAAAAATCCAATGGCGTATTTACGATCATGATAATCGTCATCCCAATTAACTTCAGTATAGTCACGTAACTCAAGAGAAGACGTTGAGGGAAACAAGAGGGTCTGAAACTGAGTGCCACAAAGATATCTCAGAATACGGACAACTGCTATCCAATGAACAGAGGTAGGAGCAATAACAAACTGACTGAAAACATGGACAACATGACCGATATCCGGACGAGTATAAGAAGAGATAAACCAAACTTCCCACAACCGTGCGATAAAGATTTCAATCAAACAAAGAAAAATCATGAGGAGGAGAGCATCGTGCATTGGTTTCAGGAGGAATATCAAGAGTCTGATTGTTAGAGAGGCCCGCCCATATAAACAAGTCAGATATATATATATATATATATATATATATATATATTATTATATATATTATTATATATATATATTATATTATATATATATATATATTGAGAAAGAAGATACCCTTTCTTAGACAGGGCTACCTAAATAACCAAGAAATAACACAATAAAACCAAATCCTTCATAGCAAATCTCTGAGGTAGATCATGCTTGAAAGACTCAATACTACCATGGTCATCATCAATAATAATCATATCATCCATATATAAGGAAAAAAGAATCTGTGATACATCCACAAAATTCACAAAAATTTTAAACTTTTTCAATCATAATAAAAACCACATTGCATTGTTTACAAAATGTTTTCAAATCATTTTCCCATCAGAGTGTCCCAAAAATCATAACATAAGGATGAAGAGCGATACAGTCACGCCTTCGCCTTTCCCTGATCTCCTGAAGTACCTGAAACAGTAAACTGATAACTGTAAGCCCGATGGCTTAGTGAGCTACCCCCAAAATACCAACGCCATACTGACAATACCATAACAGTAACAATCAATCAATCAACATTCATATTAGGCCATCGGCCTGACTGGACCGCCCTACCGGGCCTACAGTTTGTCTAAATCTATCCCGAGCCTTCGGCATGACTGGTCTGCCACGTGGGCCTACAGTCTCCCCGACCGCTCATAGGGTATATTGGCCTTTAGCACAAAGCAGGACCGCCTAAACCCAGCCATAAGAAAATAACCATGTGCGCATACTATCATATACATGCATATATTAACATCAAACATATCTGTCACACCGATCATAAATCATAAAATTCTCCTGTAACTAGAGTACCAACCTAGCAGGTCACTAATATACCAATCCCTATGGATCATAAGAGCATAACATACTGTCCACCCCGATTCCTACCTAACAGCTCATAACCACATGTAGCATACCATAACAATAAAAACTAAGGGTCGACCTTGGTGTCATAGACCCTATCGATATAGTGAGGATAACTCACCTCGCAGATGTTGACTCGGAAGGTAGACTCCAACTCTCAGATCACTCGCCACCAACCCGACCACTTATAACCATAGTTCAATATACGCATAAGCCTTTATCCTTATAAGGTACTCCGTAACCCAATAGTCAACCCCTGATGAAGGTCAAATTCCTCAGTCAAGGTCAACAGTCCAAGTTGACCTCAACTCGCCGAGTACACCCAGCTACTCGCCGAGTCCCTTAAAGCCCTATCCAACTCGCCGAGTCATCGAGGTGACTTGTCGAGTTCCTTCGAATCCCGATCCGACCTTAAGGCCACCTGTCGAGTTCCCCCCCTGCGACTCGACGGATGTACTTGTAAACATATTCTTGGATAAAACTCCTCCAACTCC